CTTGGAGGTCCTCTGATCCAACCCGCTGCTTAGGCAGGAAACCCTACACCACTCCAGACAAATGGTTATGCAATCTCTTCTTTAAAACTTCCAGTGTTGGAGGTTTCACAACTTCTGGAGGCAGGTTGTTCCACTGATTAATTGTTCTAACTGTCAGGAAATTTCTGCTTAGTTCTAAGTTGCTTCTCTCCTTGATTAGTTTCCATCCATTGCTTCTTGTCCTGCCCTCAGGTGCTTTGGAGAATAGCTTGACTCCCACTTCTTTGTGGCAGCCCCTGAGATATTGGAATACTGATATCATGTCACCCCTAGTCCTTCTTCTCATTAAATAAAAGTTACCCAATTTCAGCAACCGTTCTTTATACGTTTTAGCCTCCAGTCCCCTAATCACCTTTGTTGCTTTTCTCTGCACTCTTTCTAGTGTCTCAACATCTTTTTTACATCATGACAACCAAAATTGGATGCAGTATTCCCAGTGTGGACTTACCAAGGCATTATAAAGTGGTATTAACACTTTACGTAATCTTGATTCTGTCCCTGTTTATGCAACCTAGAACTGTGTTGGCTTTTTGGGGAGCTGCAGCACACTGCTGGCTCATATTTAAATGATTGTCCACTAGAATTCCAAGATCCCCCTCACAGTTACTACAATTGAATGAGGTAGCACAGATACTGTACCTGTGCATTTTATTTTTCTTGCCTAAATGTAGAACCTTACTTTTTTCACCACTGAATTTCATTTTGTTAGATAACCCCAATGTTCAAGTCTGTCAAGCTCCTTCTGAATCTTAAACCTATCTTCTGGAGTATTGTCTATTCCTGCCATCTTGGCATCGTCTGCAAATTCCCCATCCACTCATCCAAATCATTGATGAAGATGTTGAAAAGTACTGGGCCTAAAACAGAGATTTGGGGTACCCACTGCATACTTCCCTCCATGTAGATGCTGTTCCATTGAGGACTATACGTTCAGTGTGGTTGGTCAGCCAGTTACAAATCCATGTGGTGGTGATGCTGTCTAATCCACATTTTCTATCTTATCAAATAGTAGGTTTTATCAAATGCCTTATTGAAGTCCAAGTAAATTATATCCACAGCATTCTTCCAGTGCACTAATTTTATCACTTTGTCAAAGAAAGCAATGCATTAAGGTTTTTGAGAAACCTATGTTGGCTTTTGGTTATTACTTTGTTTGCTTCTAGGTGTTCGCTGACTCATTGCTTGATTATCTTTTCCAGAATCTTCTCAGGTATTGAGGTCAGGCCAGTGGTGGGATACGACCGGTACGCTCCGGTACAGATGTACCGGTGCCTGCTGGGAGCATCAGGTTCTGTTCCGGTATGGTGCACCCAAGGGCCCACCCGTCTGCCCGCCGTTCTTATCTGTATTTGAGCTGATCAGGGCTTCAGCACACGCCCACGGAGCGTACAGCACCTGCGGGACGCTCCGCCGAGCAGCTGGAGCATCACGGGTGGTAAGTACGCATGCATGTGCTGCATGCGTGCATGTGGTGGACTACCAGCCCCATTGCACCGTACCAGTTGCACTGAGATCCGGAACCCATCACTGGGTCAGGCTGATAGTCTGTAGTTTCCTGGATCTATTTTTTTCCCTTTTTTGAAGATGGGAACTATATCAGCTCTTTTCCAGTCCTCTGGCAGTTCCCCGGTGGTCCAGGATCTTTGAAAGATATAGTTCAGTGGTTCTGAGATCCATCTGGTCCTGGTGATTTGAACTTGTCTAGGGTACACAGGTTTTCCATTTTCTTCCCTATTTAACCTGTGTTCCTAATAGGTTTTTGCGGTGCTGTTTTTGATAGGTTGGACTGTTTTTTCCCTTTGTGTAAAGACATGCAAAAAAACAACAACAAGTTAAGTAGTTCTGCTTTCTCCCTGTTGCTTGTCACCTTCTTGCCACTGTCTCGCACCAATGGACCAATCATTTCCTTGATTTTTTTCTTGTTTTTAACATATTGAAAAAAGCTTTTTTTGTAATGTTTACTTTTGTTACAAGCCTTTGTTCATTATGAGCCTGATCTTTGCAGCCTCGGGCTATTTGCTGGTTTTCTGCCTTAGTTATGTGTCCCTCTTTGCACTTTTTATACTTGTCCTTTTTGTCTTTCAGTTTGTCAGAGAGGTCTTTATGCAGCCATGCTTGTTTCTTTTGATAGCTGTTATTTTTCTTCTTCATTGGTATTGTGCTAGACTGAGCTTTTATAATATCTTTTCAAAATTTCCCAAGCTTCTTGAGTTGTTTTCCACTTGAGGATTCTCATCCATGGAATCTTTCCCAAGCTCTCTCTAAGTTTATTGAGATTAGCTCTCTTAAGTCCAAGACTCTAGTTTGACTTTGTTCTATTGCTTGTGTTTGCATAATGTTGAATTCCAATATTGCATGATCTTACATAGACTCTATCTGGGTATCCTGACAAAGAATAGAAACCATAAGAATGAGTTGCTGTATTTTATATATTTATGTATGTTTTACTGTCATTTCATTAAAATATTTTTATTATAAACTAGCTGTACCCGGCCACGCATTGCTGTGGCCCAGTCTGGGCGTAGTGGGGCGGCAGGTGGGTGCTGCCGTTGGTCAGGCCTTTATTGCTGCTGGGCCAGGCGAGGCTGGTTGGGGGAGATGGCGCCGGGGCTGTCAGCCTCGTGGAAGTTGTTGAGCATCTCCTTGGAGGAGCTGCGCTCAGGCTCCCCCAAGTTGGTGGCCTGGGGGAGTGAGACATCCAGAATCTCGGAGGAGGAGAAGTCCTTGGTGTGCCACATCACGGGGCACCCGGAGGCCGCCCCAGCCCCGCTGCACCTCAGGCTGACACCACCGCTGCCACTTTGTTGGAGCCGCCTTGGCAAGGCCGTAGCTGGCTCGTTGTGAGGGGGGTGGAGACCGTGCGGCCGGCTGAGGATATGCTTCACCTCCTCTGGAGCTCTGTTGGGCTGGCCGGGGGTAGGCCGACTTAAGAGCAGGGGAGGCGACTGAGGGATGGCGCAGGTGGCGCCCCGCCAC